AGAAATACTGTGTGTTGCATCACTGTTAAGGACGCACAGAGCTGCTCAACCTTGCAGGAAGCTGCTTGCAGCTCTACAGACCTTACATGACGCACAGGATAATCTCTTCCTATATTTGGTTCCGTTTCTGGTTGTTGCTGCTGTATCCCAGCATCTCGCTGAGTTGTAAAGGAAATAACGGAACTTGCTGGTTTCTTCCATCCATAGTTGTGTGCAGAATGGCTATAGACTCTCTCCTCCTTGGCCATCCTGCTTGCTCGCAGTGTTCAGCAATGCTCCTGGTGCTCTGCACGGTGCTAGCCGAGATGGTCTTCTGCTTGGTGCACTGTTGTCTTAGAAGCAGAGCACGGGCTCTGGGTGCATATGCAGAAAGAAGCAGTTCCAGCTCCCAGCACGTCACAGAAAGGTTTCTTGGGGAGCAAAAGCCCTTGTAGAATGAGGGTCACTTGTCACAGTAGTTTTCTTTCTCAGAATAAAAAACCAAAGGAGGTTTCCAGTGTGCTGCTCTGCACCTCCTGCCTCTCTCTATTAGTTTTCTGTAGTTTTATAGAATTATCCCTCCACTGTCTTGAATACCCGGGTGAGATGGGGTTAATTTCTGGGGTCAATACGTGCAGAGTACTATGATCTGCAAACAGTGGTGTCCCCGAGGCTACAGGTGGGACTGTGGGACTGCTTCCCTCCCCCTGCCTAGGAGTTTGCTGACGCTCGGCTCGGGCTCAACCCATGCCATGCAGCTACTGGTTCTGCTGCTTTGAAGCTGGAATCATGGCACACATGGAAAATCTCTCATTTATCACACACCAGGGTTGCTTCATGAGATCTAAAGTGCTCCGTCTTGTTGTCAGGTGTTACTCGGAAAGCTCTGAGACAGCTGAGCCCTTTTCTATCCTATTGCCAACTAGAGGGTTTCTTTGTGTCAGGGCAGCCTTGGAGCTGATCCAAGGTTTCTGGATCCAGCTGTACCACAGTGCTTAGTGCTCTATGTGTGTGTATTGCTGCTGGAGAGGCTGCTTGGGTTTGGACCCTTCAGTCACGATGATTTGAAGTTGCTTTAACAAACTAAACTCTTTGCTAACTTGGTTCCTTTTGAATAAGGAAACTCTCCTAAGAATATTTCCATCAGGAGCTACAGGATACCCATGTGCTTAGTGGAGAAAAATCAAACCCTGCTCCAAGGTTTTAGGTGGTTGCTGCCTTTCCAGGATGTTGCTACGCTTTCAACTTTTTGCAGAAGTATTATATTATGACCATGTGAAAGCAAAATTGTTGCCTCATTTATTTGTGCTTTTTTATTTTTGAAGAAGAAGGGATAGGCAGGATACTTGAACAGCCTCTCTTCACTGTGTGTTTACTGAAAGCAAGAAAGTATGCATTGATTATCCTGTGGTATAACCTCCCAGCAAGGAAAACAAGGCTTGACCCTGGGATTAGAGAGCCACAGGGCAGCAACCAAGACGTTTCCCCCTGCACACAGTGTCCTTCAGTGGAGAGTCCCCTTTACTTGTACCACACGTAGGAAGGACTTGCTCTGCTCTGGCTAATGTGTAATTGTCCCTCCAATACAACCTTCCACCCCAGCTGTTTGCTTGCCCATGCTGGGGCTTGGGTGAAAAAAAAGGCGGTATTTGTGCCTATTTCTGGCGTTCAGGGCTTGGTGCAGCCACACGTCTGCCAGTAAAGTTAATAGCTGAATTCTCTGCACATCTTTGAGTACCTCAACCGTGTTGTTTTTCCCTTTTTATGCAGCCGTTTTCCAAATATAACAGAGCAAGGCCCTACTGGGATTAAAATGCAAATGAGAGYAAGATGCAATAGCAAAGGAATAATTTGCTTTAATTCCCCGGTGCAAACATTCCAGTTATGAGATTTAAATTAATTGTGCCCGTCATTTTGCCATTGCCAATGTTTCTGTTTGGGCTATCGATTAAAACCCTGCAGCAGGGGAGCTGCAGTGTCACTGCTCGGTTTATTTTGTGATGCAGAGGGAAGCGGCATCTCCAGCAGCGCTGCCCTGTGCACCAGGCTGCATGCACGGGGCTGGGGCCGTTTTGGAGCTTCCCTGGCTCCACAGCGTGAGTTATTTCGTGCTGTGTGAGTTCCTGTGCCCGCCTGGCCTTGGTGCTGGTTGTGTCTGTGCGGAGGGATCTGCTGGGCTTGGCCCTTCGCCCTCGCACAAGGACGGTGCCCCAGTCCTGCCTGCCTCGCTGCCCGCAGCAGCAGCACGCTGGGCACGTTCACCTTCCCTTAATTAAAACCTGCACCGTAAACACGAGCGGGAAATCCCTGGTGGGCCCGTGGATAAGCAGAGGGATGGGTTTTGCACCAGCCCTGTCGTGAGGAGCGGCGAGGGGACCCGGTCTTGGCGCAGGGAGGATGAGGCTCATCTTGCTCGCGGGGTGGGAGGATCTGCTCGTCAGCCTCACCTTGGCTGATTGCATCTGTTTGGGGTCTAGYGCAAAAGACTTTGATGAATTAAAACCTCTTTCCAAATAGTAGTCCACGTTGCTACGCATTGAGCCATAGTTAAGGTGAAGAGTGTGGGGTTTGTTTGTTTGTTTTTAAACTGTTTTTGGATTTAAAATTCTTTAATTGACTTTCAAAGACTCCATGAAGGAAAATACTGCTGAGATACTGCTGAGATACTGATACTGATGAGAGTTAAAAACCGCAATTCTTACCTTTGGCTGCAATAAAAAAGAGAAAAGTATGAGGAAGCCTTGCACAAAAGACTACAAACAAATTCTTCCCAAATACCAAAGCAGCCCACTGAGAATAGGGAGAAATGCTTTTCCTTCTCAGGGGAGCCCAGTTGGTGGGGTTTTTTTTTTATTTTTTTTTTATTTTTTATTTTTTTTTCCAGGAAAAAAGAAGCACAAGTTGCTGACATAAATTGTTTTCTTATTTTGTCACCTTAAATTTTAAAGAATAATGCTTGTCAAACCTTGGGCTTCAGTTGGGTGAGGCAGGAGAAATGTTAGGCCATTTGATTAAAAAAAAAAGTTTAAAAATGTATGTTGGAAATCTTACGGAAAACTTTACAAAGCTCAGAACCAGGGATTTTGGGGTGGAGGARAGGAAGAGCTTCAAATCCTGGCTGGTTTTGCTCCCTTTTCCCCCGACCGGCGCTTTCAGCTCCCTGGCGCCGAGCTGAGCCCGCCGTAGCGGCCGCTTGTTTGCAGGGAGAGCAGCGGGAGGGAYGGGAGTCAGGTACAAAGGTGTTTTGCAATTTTAATTTGGTCACCGCTTGCCAGCAAATTCAAACTGTCCTCGGCTGTGGCTGGTCTCTGGTCTGGTGCTGCTTCCCACTCTGGGATCCAGTTTCCCTCCAGCTGGTGTGAAGCTGCTGTGCTAGTTTTCCCTGCAGAGGAAATTCCTTAATTCYGAAATTTGAGGATTTCGGTAGGAGGAAACAGTCCTGCTTCCCAGCTCAAGGTTGTTGTTGGTGCTGTGTCCGCTCCCCTATCCCACCACCTTTTCCGTTTGCCCTCCGCATCCTCCCCTTGTGCCAAGGAGGTGCCTAGCTCTGATTTTGTGCTGAGCTGAGAAAACGCAGCCTGTTCTGTAAAGTCCCGCTTCTCTTACGTGGGTCYCGTGTCCTACATGCAGGTAGCTGGGCTGCAAGGCTACCTGCAGCTCGTGAAGTCAATCCAGGCTGTGCCRTGACCAAATCCTCCAGCCCATCACACCAGGACTCTGACACCCATGCGTAAAGTCTTCTGTTCCTTGCAAGTTTACTCAGTTGTATAGGAAGAAACAAAGGGTRGTAATAAAATACCATCTTGCAGGGACCTTGCAAAGAGATCTTTGAAGACCTGAATTATGCTAAAGTGACATTTCTTAAACCACTGTTTCTGCACACTGAATTAGCATGGATGAATTAGCATGAACATTAGTTTATCTTTTCCAAAAACAGACTGAATACCRATTTATGGGGGATTAAGGAGTTGATAGAGAGCCCGGGGTGCACCAGAAGGTCTCCTTGTGTCATCTGCAGCACTCAGCATGTGGTTTCTCCATAGAAAAGTACCCTCTGCCCTGGTCCTCCTTTGCTACCTGGGGTCTTGGTGCTTCCTTAGACTGAAGCTCCCTTGGGATCTGTGGTCACAGAGCAAGGGAAGCGGCTCTCCCCTTCCAAGCAGGGAGGTGGAACGGTGCTGAAACTCTCCCGCGTTATCCGTAGCCRTATGGATTTGTGTGAAACGAGGGCAGGGAGGACGCACGGCTGTTTTCCCTCCAGCCACCTGAGGAGCTGCTACTTCAGCTGGGAGGAGGAGAGTTGGGGCGGGCGCAGATCCCGGCGCGTTAGCAAAAGCAAACAGGGCCAAAGTGTCCGAGCTGGGAGCGGGGCGGGAGGCGGCAGYGCAATGTGCTGCGGGGCTGCCCAGCCGCCCACATCTGCCCGCGCGCAGGTAGGGAGCGAGCGGCGGGGCTCCTCCCGGCCACTGCGAATGCTTTAAAAATAGGAATAGTCATAATAATACCTGCGGGGAATAACTTTCCGGGTGTGGGAAAATTATAGAAACTTGCTGAAAAGCTGGGGGAGTTTCTGGAGGGGAGCAGTGTGTGGCTAGCTGGGCGCTCAGTTGGGTGGGGGGGGTATCCCCAAGGATGGAGGTATCCCCAGGAAGGGGGGAAATCCCCGGGAATGGAGGTGTCACTGGTGAGGAGGTATTCCCAGGGAGGAGGTATTCCCAGGGAGGGGGTATCCCCGGTATGGGGTATTCTGGAAGGGCTGTGTCTGGGGGGTATCCCAGGGATGAGGGGCACGGGTGCACGAGTGGGACAGCTCTGACTTCCTCCCCCTGCCTGGGTTTCTCCACCCACAACCCGAGGGCCCGTGTTCTTTTGAGCACCGTCTGTGGCAGAGGCCACGTCCCAGCACACGCGGCAGCTCCCCGGGGCGCTTGCCAGGGCCGCCCCCTGGTCCTGACGCTGCCTCCGGCTTTGTTTTCCAGGGCTTGCCGAGGAGGCCGGGCGGGCGCTCTCCCGGCCCAGCCATGCCGCCCGCGGGGCCGGGCGCCAGCCCGCCCGACGGCGCCTGGGGCTGGGTGGTGGTGTTCGGAGCGTTCGTTTCCATCGGCTTCGCGTACGCCTTTCCCAAGGGCATCGCCATCTTCTTCAAAGAAATCCAGGATTTCTTTGGCACCTCCTATAGCGAGATCGCCTGGGTCTCCTCCATCACGCTGGCCACGACGTACGGCGCAGGTGAGTTAGCCTGGGTCCACGCTGTGCTGCCATGCATTGCATAAAGCCAGAAAGGAGGCAAAAGTAACACTCTGATGCACCCGGTTGTGGAGGTGACCTGCTCTGACGGTGCTTCTGCATTGCTTTGACCCAAGTGGGCTGCKTGGCACCCACAAGGTAGGTTCCTTGGGTACACAGCATCCCAGGTGCCGCCTGTTTCTGAGTGTGGGATCTTGACTGGTGGTGCTGCACTCAGACACAAGCCCGAGGAACCGTCAGGATATAAAATAACGAGGTCCAGTTTTTGGGTAAAGGTAAGCCTGGAGTAGGGCAATAAATGGAGCAGCCGGTTGTTTGTGGTGGCAGGTTATAAGCAGAGCGATGAAATAGCCAGCATTGATCATTCTCAGCGCTCACAAAGCAGAGTGTGTGATTTAGCTCTTATATTTTTTGATATCATTACCATGTCCGACAATGAAAAATTGGGCTGCCTGTGATAAGATCTAAAATAGGATGTAGACAGAAACCGTTCTGCATAATTGCAGGAAACTTCATCAATATTTTTCCTGGCTATGCAATCAACTCCAAAAGTATTCTTGCTTTTAAAAAGGGACTTGTGTTTTTGGCTTCCTTGTGAATGTGCTGTYGTGCTCTCTGGAGGGTGCAGGTGGCAGTGGAAGTTGAGGTGCTCTTTGCTTTTAAAGTACATGGAACTGGAGCAGTGCTTGAATCCCAGCCTGTTGTAATCCACCCTATTGCAACCCACTCAAGGGCTTGGTCCTGCTGAGAGCAGCTCTGCAAGGCCTTGAGCTTCAAGGAGCAACAAGGAGGTTGGGCTCCTTGTTTTCCTGCAGGTTCCCTGTCTTTTTGCAAAGAGCTTTAAGTTTACCCTGCCTTGTGATATGTGCAGTGATAGAAACAACCACTGTTGGACTTAATTGCAGATAATCTTGTGCCTTCATGCCTTCCCACCCGCCATGCAGTTGTAGTCCTCCCCTCTGCTCTTGAGCAAGATTTATGCTTGTCTGATCTTCCCTCCGGCTCGGGCGATCCCCTTGGCTTGCAGCCACGCAGAGCTGCCTGGTGACTGTGGACAAGGTGGGAGTTTACAGAACGTCAAGCGATTGAAGGACAGGTGCCCAAGGGTGTATTTAGCACATCCGACGTGATTGCCCGGGCATTTAACACCAGAGCAGGTTTGACATATGAGTGCTTTGGAAATGGTCATCAAAGGAAGGGAGCACAAGCTCCTGTGCCTGAGTCCTGCTCAGCTAAGGTGCCCGTGGAGCTGCTGTGATGCGAGCTCTGTGCAGCTTGATTTGCTCTGCTGCCACCTTAGAAAATAATTTGACGTTGTTGTTATTTGTGAACTTGTTTTTGAAAATAAGAGATGCCAAAAATGCCCAAACAAGCTTTAACGTAGCCCTGAGTAACCAGCAGAGTTGCTAACAAGCTAGTGTAGTTATGACTGGAGTTTTTCTGGGGATGCCCCATGCCAGAGCCACGGTGCAGAAGGTCGCACGGCCCCGCCGTGGCAGCTCTTGTCTGCAAACCTTGTCCCTTTGGCATGGGCTTTGGTGCAGGACCTTGTTCTTTCAGCTGAGCAGCTTACCGCATAACAGAGCTTTTGTTTGCRCTTCATACATAATGCAAGCCAAGCTTATTTTCTGCAAATACTTCCACAAACGAGCCCAGACCTCCCCCAGAGCTGCTCGGGCGGCGTGGGTGCAGATTTGCACTGACCACCTGAGGCTTTGGCTCGTAGCACCAGAGCAGTGCCAGCTTTGCAGAAAAAAAAGGCTGCAGATTGTCAGCTGAGAATGTTTCTGCCCTTCAGGTTCGGTTGAATTCCCCTAGGAAGCAATTTTACACCAGCTGAGGCTCCAGCAATATATATTGCAGAAGTTTTAATGTGTCCTATCCCCTAGTTTCTTAATCTGGGCTGTGTGGCAGAAAACAATTTTGTCACTATATTACAAGTAGTAAAACAGATTAGTGGCAGTAAAGTGAATTGCTTGGACTTTATGGCCAGGTGCTTGTAGTTCGCCAGCATTGCAACCGCCGTGTTTCCAGCTGCAGAACAAACTGAGAGGTTTGTGAGCGAGGAGCACTAGGGAACATTGCTTTTCTCTGACGAAATCCGTGAGGTGAAACTCTTGCCAACTCGATAAAGAAGGATTTCCATTTTGGAGTATTTCTACACTGTTTGTATAGGTGGAGAGCTCTCTTCTTACTCCAAATTAGAACAGTGYGACGGAGCTGAGTGCTATGGATTTGTTGTGACAAGTAAAGACTTGGGCACCCAAGGTCTTGCCTTCAATACAGGCATTAATTTCACTTCARTCTTCAGTATTACCATTGGAAGGTCCAAATGTGTGGCCTTGAGGCATCTTGACATTGGCCACGTACCTCCATTGTGCCCACAATACCAGAGTTGCCCTTTCAGGGAGATGCATCAGTCTCAGCCATAGAGGACATAAGCAATATTAATTTGCTAGTGATTTAGTTGTCTTATTCAGCATTGAGGGAAACAGCCAAACAGTCTTAAAATAAGAAATACTGATGCTGCTAATTTAATAGCAGCAATGTTCTTGTAGCTGTTAAGGTCTCCTCTAAGGCTATAAGAGAGGCGAGGTTTGTGGGGAGAAGTAATATCTTTTATTATGGCCAGCTGTTAGAGTTTGAAAAATGAGCAGCCTTTCTGCCACATGTGCCAGGATAGAGAGAATAATTTAATACTGAGGACAGAATCTGCATTTTCAGKTTTTTTTTTTATGATGACTGTGTGGTCTGATTGATCCTTTTCATCACTATAATGAAACAACAGAGGCCATCTGAGCAAAGCTTGTGGACCAAATCCTGACAGAGAGTCCTTTCAGCCAATAAGCTCGAATATCTGTGGCTATACTAGGAGAAGCATGAGCTTTTTTCCCCAAAATTTTGAAGAATTTCTTCCTTTCTCTTGCTGTGAACAGCTAGGCCATGTGTGTGTGTACAATTAGTAGCTCTAAGTATTTGCTGCTTCTGTTGTTGATACAGAAAACATAAAATGTATCAGGACCGTACGCTGTTTTTAATTCAATATCTTATCTCTGTGTTTGTCTCTGGTGCTGCTGTTATACAGCCCTGAAGTATCCAAGACGTTGTTTTCACATCTCAAGATTCGTATTAAAATTAAGGAATTGCCTTATGTCTGCTTTGCAAAGACAGAAATAGAGCCACCTTTTGCAACACAGCAAAAAAGGGAATATTTTGGGAGTAAAAGCCTTAGCCTGAAAACAGCCAGTGCTTATTATCCCTGTTATTTATTATTTATCATTTTGAAATTGGATGAAAGACCGAAGATTTAATTCTGGAGTTGCCCCACGATTCATTCTTTTCTCCAAAGAATCTTTCTCCCGGTGTTTGTAACCTCTTAATGGAGTATCTGCCAAAGCAGCAAGGGAGAGATTGCACCGTTCTTGGGGAGCTATGAGTTGACAACTGACCTTGAACATTTAATCCAAGATTTTATAGCTATATTTTATTACATTGCTGGGATGATAAATTGCAGTGACAGGTTTAGAAAGGACCTTACAACATGCACTGACGTAAAGCAGTGTTAATAATGAGTTTGATTCTGCAGTTTTTACTTAATCAAAACTTCTCATTTTCTCTCTCCTGGTCTCGTGCAAACCTCACGAAAATCTTCCTCTTCTTGTGAGGACCTCACACAAGGCTCTCCACATGTCCCAAATACTTACAAACAGTTGGGAAGTGCCATAGGACTGAAAGGGGAAACTGAGGTGAATCTTTTGTGAAGAATATGTAGTAAATAAGAGCAGAGTTTAGGTTATARGGCTCAGGAGATGCAATCTTTCCTCAAGCCATTTGTGGTCCTCTTGGACRTCCCTGTCTGGGTGATCTATAGCAATGCATCACATCTCTACTCTTTCTGATTAAGTGCTCACAATATTGGTTCAATCACAAATTTTCTAGGAGGGCTACAGGTTCCCCTGCCYGTGTGCTTTTCCACCTAGAGATTTTCTTAGGTTGCAACATGAGTTATCTGTTTATCCACCGAGGACATGCAGCTTCCTACTGCCGATTGCGTCTGGTGGACAACCAGGCATCATGTCCTGTGCAGATGGGCACCTGATACCAGCTCCATGGTGCTGATCACGGTGATATCGTGATGCCACCTTCTCACATGCTGTGGCCTCCTCATGGAGTCCTGCCAAGCACCAGTTTGGCTCCCTGTGTCATTGAAATGATGGTTCTTCCCATGTCGGCACAATCCTGAGCGTAGCAGCAGCACCGTTATGATCTTGGGTTTCGCCAAGAGAGCCGTGTGAAGGATTATGTGACTCCTGTAATGGATGGTGCTGCAGGTTCATATACTTCTACTGGCTCTTGGAAAGCACTCAAGTCCTGCAAGGTCACCACACATGTGCTTATATTTTTTATTTTTTTAAATAGCCCTGTTCTAGTTAAAAGCAATAATAGCACTATAGGTCCAGGTGAAATATTTCTGTGTTTGTGGACTTGGTCACAAAGCTTTATCATTTCGTCCTTCATCGGAGCTAGCAAGGTCACCGGCCAGGAGTAATAGAGATGTGATAGACTTAATAAAAAYGGAGATTAATAAGAACTGGGAAGTAAAAAGCAAAGGGTTTTGGTTGGGGGGTTGCTAATGCTTCATGGCAGGTGTTAGGTCCAGAAATAAGTTATAATCCACTCCAGCAAGTAGTGTGTGAGTGTCTTAAAGCTTATTCCACCAGCTGGTGCAGTATGAATGTTGTGTGTTGCCACAGGAAGGAGGGTGAGAGCTTTAATGGCAACCTACCTGGAGGCATTGCCATCCTTCCACCCCTGGATGCCCCACAGCATCATTAGTCTCTTTATGGTCAAATTATGGGGTGTCTCAGGGTATGGACGGAGCCCTTTTGTAAACACGCCCTAATTTGCTAATTTTCTCATGGGGCAAAGCAGCGGTCMGGATGGCTAAGCAAGAGCTTCTGGTTGCAGGTGGTAGGTGTTTCGGTAGTGTAGGATGCTCGTGTCCTGCAGCTGGACTGCACATGGAGACAGAGAAGAGGTTAGCAMAAAGAAAAATGAGAAGAGGGAAAGAAGTTCAAAAAAGGTGAAGTCGTGACCTTCGGGAGGCCAGTGGCTGCCATGTGCTGCGGCGGGGACAATCCAAACCCTCACCCAGGGAAAACAGTGAGCGTGAGCAGCTGCGTGCTCAGCTCCTGGACGGCGGCCCTGCGTGGGGGCAGGCATTTCACTGCCCAGATACACAGTGACGTGAGGGACCTTGGCTCCAGCCCTGATGGGGGAACTGTTGGCCTGGGGCTCCTCGGGAYGCCCCAGGAGCAGCGCGTGTCGGCTGTGCAATCTGGAAATTGAAATGCTGAGGCGCTGATCAGATAAGATGACCGGATAAGGAGGAGGACACTTTGTCTCTTTGAAGCTTGTCTGTCTCCTGCTTTGTGTTTCCTTTTTTTTTTTATCAGAATGCTGCTGTGGCAAATTCATGTGTTTGTACAGGAGGTCACAGACTGGCTTTGCAAGGATGGATGCAGGGAAGAGCTGGCGGCTCCAGCTCTGATTCTCAGCTTAGTTCGTTATCCCTGTTGCTCCTGGTGCAGCCCTGCTTTGGAGAGCAGCACAACGGAGTGTGGCCTGATGGCAGGTGACCAGCACTGCAAGTGATGAGAGGTCCTCCCCTTCCCCTGCTTTGACACATCCCTGCCCCAATTTTCCCTTCCTTGCAGGACACGCACTGCTAACGGGTGCTCGTTGCTGCTCGGCTCTGCCTTGGGAGGCTGCTAGTTTCCAGCAGCATATTAATAACGCTGGGGCACTTGCTTTCATTTAGGGGGTAATGAGAAGGTTGCTCTGGTACAACAGGCTTGGACCCTYGTGGGTAAATTACAAGGCCAAAGGCAGTGTTGCTATCCCGCTGAGGGAAGGAGATTATTACTGAGGCAATTGCAGGACTACTCCTGTCCCTGTTTTACTACGAGTGTAATAATAGACTTTGTTTTATTAGGATAAATGATTTCCCCCTCTGCCCCCTTTCCTCCCAGGTGAGTCCTATCCACTCTTTATGTCCCCAGTGACTCCCCATAGTCACTGAGCTCCTTACTATTTTCTGTGTTTTTAAGCAGTTCGGAAAATATTAGTTATCTATTCTCTTGGCTAAGTTCCCTGTRCAAGAAGAGCTTTGGTCACGGTGGTCATTGGTGGAAAGGAAAACGGGGGTAGCTGGGGTGCACCATGGTCCATGGCGTGGGGCTGCTCTGGGTCTCTTTTCACATCTCCATGGCCATCCCAAGGTCGTGTCGACAGAAATAGGGTGTTTGCTGCTTGCCAGGCTTGCTGCCCTGTGCTGCTTACTCTGCCAGAAGGTCTGTCCTGTGAAGCATGGGGTCAAGGTGAGCCCAGATTCGAAAAACTGGGAAAGAAGCTTCTGTTAGTTTAAAAAAGAAGAGAGAGAGAGAGAGAGAAAAAAAAAGACATTGCACAAGTCAAACTTCATAAATATGGTATAAGTGTATGGTCCAAACTGCAGGAGAGAAGAACATTTTAAATACAGTGCTTATTAAAAAGACATTAGTGTTTTGCAGCAGATCTGGAAGTTTTGTATTTCATTACAGATGCATAAATTTTACTGATAAAAATGAAAGGTATTTCAGGTGATTCTGCTTTGTGCTGTTGCTCTAGCAGGAGTTGAGGCCACTYTGGTTTGATGGTTCTTGCTAAATGTCCAGTCCGTGCCCTGATCCTGCCTGGGTCACAGTGCAGGACAGTGGCTCAASAGGAATAACTAACAAAAGGAGATGGTGGTCCAGGGCATTTTGCATTTTCTTTACCATTTCACAGTCTCCTCTTAAGGCTCTTTTTCACTTCTGAAAACTCATGACTCAAGGTGAGAAGTAATTGGACAAGTGAACAGATGAGCGAGTGAGTGCTTGATTTCCCGCGGGCGACTTGCTAGGTGTCGCGTGCCACCAAAATTGGCTTCTCTGACATCGCCTTTTGTGTGCAAACTAACAATGACTGGGGAGCTGCCACAGGTAGGAGGAAAGAGGGACTTTAGCATGGATARGCACTAAACCATCGTGATTTATGTGGGCTGAGGATAGTGCTTTACACCACATCCATCTTGTGGGGGTGCTGTGATGCCAGCAGCGTCTTTAGAGGATGTCTGGCCTGAGCTGCTGCTGCTCCCCAGACTGCAGTGCAGTGTGGTCCTGTTGATATATTGGGGTGCAAGGCAGGGGTTCGTTTTCCCCCCAGTTTCCTCCTTAGCCCTTGCTGGTGCTGTTGGGTTGGACTTTACTGCTCGTGGTGGCTTCTCTGGGAATGGGTCAGCACTTGCCTTGCTGCTCCCGCAAGCCCGTGCCAAGCGAACAGCGGCTTTCCRAGAGCTTGGACAGGGGTTTCTCTTGCCCTGTCCTCTCTGATTCCTTTATCCAAGAAACAAAAATCACCCCAACTCCTACCTTCCTGTGCTCCTGCTGCCAGGGGCTTTCAGTTCAGTTCCAAGGGCAAAGGCCCTGCGGTCCCTGTGCGTTTGACCAGGTAAGAGGAGCCTGGGGACCCGAGCTGTGCGTGTCGGCACCGTAGCTGTTTCTGCAAGGTAATTCGCAGCATCTTTATTCTTTTCATGCTCGCTGAATAACTGCTGGATGACAGGTCCTGCTTTTCAATTTTGCCGTGTTTCCAGAGGCTGTCACACTTTTAATTTCTGCAATAGCTCCAAGCCAAGCAATAATCGCGTTTCCTATTTCCCCCGACTGCGATCTCGGCTTTGTTGTTCACTTTTCTTAATTCCCCTTCCCTGTCTCAAGCTACCGAATGTTTTCTACCCAGAACCTGCATGTTTGATGGCCGGTGGGTGTGTAGATGTGTCCCTGCAAGCACGCGGCGGGTGGCACGTGGCTAGGTGACAGGAGAGGTGCGTCTGGACCTGCTGGGCTTGCACAGATCTCTTTGGACACRGGGGCCGGGGGCAGGAGTTCGTGCCAGGGCTGCACGTGTCTGCCCAGAGCAGCTGCGTGTGCCAGCTGAGGTGTGTGCAGCAAAGTGACACATCGCGTGTGGCCGCCACTGAGACCGGACAGCTTCTGAAAGGCGGCTCCATCAGCGCCTATGGACAATCGCCCAGGAAGTTCTCCAGAGCCAAATGATTTAAGTGGAAGTAATTCTGGGGATGTGATTTTGCATTGCTTCAGTGCATCGGAAAGGTTTGCTCAGGACTGTTAGAAAGCCTCGGTCCGAGGAGCAGCAGCTCAAGGAAGTTTGGGTTGCTGGGTGCCTGCGGGCTGGACTGGGTTCTCTGGAGTCCAGTGTGAGCTCCGACTGCTGCTTCTCCTGCAGGTAGACAACTTGTAATGGCCACACACAAATGTGGTCGCTGCAGAGTCTGGAAGGATTGCTCTGCTCWAGAGGCTCTGTTGCATCTTTCTCCTCCAGCTAGCTGACTTGAACACCTTAGAGGTCTCAGACCCTCAGCCATCGATGGTTGAATCTGGCTGAGGCTTCAGAGTGACAAGGAGAAAGGCTTATGTTGCTTCCTAAGTTTGCTGTGAGTCTTTGCTGAGCACTGCGTGGCCCAGGCAGGTAATGCCTTTGGGATTGAACCTTCACTGCAGCAATTGCATTTTCGTGCCTTAGCAAGTTACTGGCTGTGGATTAAGGACCTCGTGCATTCTTTGAGGTTGCCCCAATTGCAAAGAAAGGAGGCACTCATTTGCCACAGGGATATGAGCTTTCCCCTTCGCTCTCCACCTGCTGCAGCCTCCATGCTGGGTTGTCTGCTCTGTGGGAAGAGGTGTCTCATGTCCCCTCTGATGTTCCATGGTTTTAAGTGCCCCTGTAGAAGGAGAAGAGGCTTCTGAACCAAACACCCCTTCCTGCTCAGTTTGCTTTCTGTATTCCCAGTTTCTCAGCCTGATAGAAGTTCAAGGTTCACTCTGCTTGGAGCAGGGTTTGGACAGGAAACTTCCAAAGGTCTCTCCGACATAAATTTCTTCACGATTCTGATTTTTTGCTGGTCCTCCAGCTCTTTGAGACTACTTTACCAAAGAGCTCCCTTCTTTCTCCTTCTGATCAAAGCTATCTGCATGTTTCACTTCCTCAGATTTTGATGGTTCCTTTCAGTGTCTACATTCTGACCCTATTTCCTTTTTTCCATAATTTTGCACTTTGCTAAACTGCCTCTTTACGTAAGTGTAAGATCAGGCTGGTTCTTTTGAGTTCCACCAAACCCATTATACCAAACTGTTTCCATCTATGTTGACTGCTGTTAAGATTTAATTAACAACTGTTCTGTTGGAGCATCAGCAATATCTGAACAGTATTAAATAGAGGCATTAAAAATGCAACAGTGTTCACGATATCAACCTTGTAATACACACTGGTGTTTTGTGTGTGCGGTTTAGCATCCTAATAAATCAAGACGTTGGGCTATTTTGATCATGTGTTCATGATCCCACATGAAAGATTTTTCTTTTCTTCACTTTTTCCCCAGGTCCTATAAGCAGTATTTTAGTAAACCGCTATGGCAGCCGCCCCGTGGTTATGTTGGGAGGCCTGCTCTGTGGCATAGGAATGGTCTCAGCTGCTTTCTGCACCAGTATCCTGCAGCTCTACATCTGTGTGGGCTTCATTACAGGTAAGAAAGCATTTTCTTTCTCTGCCCTTGAGGCTCGCTTGTGATTTCTGTGACACCTTCCCTCATGTACCTCAGGTTTTCCTTCCATAACACATATTTTCATATCAAAGGAAACAAGATGTAGGCTCCATCCATCACTTTAAAGTCTACAAGAGCTGGGTCATTGCTTTCAAAGGTAGACAGATTAGAGTCATCTATCTGTGTGAATATTGGTGTTTAATTGCACGCTAAATGCTTTTAATAATCCTGATTATTTTGAGTAGGATGTTGCAAGKGTTTCTTCCAGTGCAATTAGAATATCTGCTCCAAAAGATGACACAATTAGTTCAAAATYGGCTTTCTAGGTTGCAAGGTGTGTGATTTAATGAATGTTCTCCCTGTCACTTCAGCTGCATTGGGTATTGGTGCTATCTGAACATGGAAAGTATAAGCCCAACTGTGAACATGAAAAGTATACGTTCAACATTTAAAATCAACAAAACTGACTGGTAGAGAAGCAAGTTGGGACAAAAAATTTGTCACCTTGTTCTCTTAAATCAGCACTGCTTTACTGAATCTGCAAAGAAAGATTCAGTGGCAGAGAAATCCCCAGGTAGGATTCCTTCTGTTAAGCCTTCTTCTTTCTATAGAGAGCCACTGTAGTTAGTTGAAACTGCTATTTATTGAATGAATAAATATTGCAGTTTCCTTGAAAGGGATCACAGAAACAAAGCATCAAGAAACAGAAATCACCAATGCCTCCCATGGATAAACTCAAAAATAAGCTCTTGATGCCTGGGCCTGGTGCATGTTGGATGACCACATCTGTATGGATGGAGCTTTAGATAATAACCTGCCACATCCAGACATGGCATGTGGGCTGGGGAGCCTGAACTTGACAAAGAGAGGGAGAGGGAGACACTTGTAGTTCAGTTAACATGGTTGATGCTTCTAATTATGCCTGAAGTGTTTTTCCTGCTCAGGTCTAGCACGGCAGCATTCAAGGACAATTATATAAAGCTGCCTGCTGATCACACGGCTGAGGCAGCATCACTGTAAGAGAGACTTTTATAAAAGCAATTTGCAATGAATATAAAGCAACCTGTAAACATCATAGTTTTTCTAACCCCCTTCTTGTCAGCCTGAAAAGGAAACACAATGACGTAAAGGACCGCACTCATGTAATTCTCAGGGATGGAGATGAAAACAAGATAGCTGGTACGAGGAGGTCTCTGCTGCAGTCCCGTGCCTTTGGCATATTAATCAAAATCTCTGAGGAGGATCAGAGCAGGAAGTATCTGTTTACAGTGGAGGGATTAGACACAGCAATCTCAATTGCTTTCTTGATTATGTCTTTTCCATTTGTATGCAGATCAGGGCCTGGCTCCACTGTCAGCAGCGAGTCTAAAGCGCTGCCATCCTTGGTGGCAGAGAGCTGTGGGCTGCAGGGGATATCACTTTCGCACGTGCTGCAGAAGCCTGGTTCTCTTCTGTGGTGATGGTTTATTTCCCTACAGCACTTTGAAGAGGAAAAGAGGGTTCTGAGATGGTGTCCTGGATGACTGCCACCTCAGATGCACGAGATGGGTTTTCAGGCTCTGCCTGGGGCAGCAGCAGCAAATTTCAAAGCTAAATAAAAGCTGATAACAATCGGGCAGAGTTTTGTTCAATCCCTACCAGCTAGACCGCTACAAAATAGAAAGGGAMTGAGGATGAAACATGCTCAATAAAGAGGCTGAAGGCTTCGTCTAGGCTCTCAATGCTGAGTCTTGAAGTAGCTAGTTGGCTCTTCCCTTGCTGCAAAAGAAGAATAGTGTCAATAGCTACTCAACAAAGTGCTGTAGCACCGCTTGTTTCCAACTTCAGGTAATGAGGAACATGCATTCAATATAGGGAAAGATGTTCCCCTGGCAGAGATTTAGTTCTGTTCATATGGCACCACCAATGGGACTCTCTCTCATTCCTTGGGGAGAGAATGGGGCTAGTTGACAAACGATTCCAGGTGTGGGAATGCYACAACAGTTCCTGCAGACTGGAATAAAATGGATATAAATATTTCCATCTGAAGTCAGCCAAAAGCTTAAAGTAAATTGAAATTCCAGTCAGTCAGTTTGAAACTCTCCAAATTTAATTAATGGGAAGAACATGAGGTAGTATTAAATTAGATATGTCTGACTTGCAAATTAATGTTCACATAATAAAAGATTCTAGTTGATTATTGGTTAAGTGGGTAGCTGGCAGCCAACCTAATTTCCATCTTCCTCTGAGGGGTTCTTTTGGYCACTGCAGGTGGGAGATCCTTACCAAATATGATTTCGTGAAAATGAATTTTCAATTCCTTCACTAACCTAACACCCTGGGAAATATGGAGTTAAAGCAAACCCTAATCCACTGTATTGCATCTTCTCACGTGAAAAAATTTCCTATTTCTGAGAGGTGGCAAAGCTATTTTCTAACAAACACTGTGTTTTGCCTCTATAGTTCCCAGGTTGCTCATCTTTACAGGGATGAGTTTGGCCTCTTATGTGTGTAATGTAGTCTGTACATCCAAAGACATGCCCTACTCTATATGGACTATCTAGAAGAAAACGTTTATGCTAAGAATGTGTTTCCTCCTACCAAGAAAATGATAATATGTTGGGTTTTTTTTCTTTTTTTTTTTTTTTTTGTGTTTTAATAAGATATTTTAACAAACAAATCCTAGATTTGGCAAAAGACATAATTTTGTAAAAACATTCAAAACAAGCTCTCCAGCATCAGTTGAATTCTGCTTCATCAGTTGGATTCTATTATATTAGCTACTAATGCTAGTGTTCTTTAATTAATTTTGAGGACTTTGACCTTTCTAAATTCTCTTCTGTAAAGCAATATGCCTAATTATGTACTGCACAGTTAAACAAACTAATTATATAGACTAATGAACAAGAAAAAATCTGCATGACCCTATTTTCAGGATTCATGTTCTCTGATATAATCACTTTAAGGATTACATTTCTGCTTTGTTCTAGTATGGCTCATCCTTTACTAGATGATAGGGAAGAAAATATGTGGCATGATTTTTAAATGTCATTTTGATGAAGTTCTGATAATTTAACTTTGTAAGGAAATACCGCACATAGAAATTTTGAAAAGAAAAATTRCTTACTAGTGCAACACAGTCCTAGAAATTCTGGTCTGCTATGACATTCGATAGCTGTTCTTTCAGATTTCACCTGCACAAGAGAAGGTAGTTAACTGTATTAGCAATGTAGGTGTATAATACCATTTATATATCTAAATGCAAGAAAAATAAAATTTAATTCAAGGAAACATGCTAAGGTCCTGTTTAATTAGCATCTTCAGTAGCTGTTTTGCTGAGTACTTACAGACCTCTTAATCTTTTGCATCACATCTGAGTTGCTCACCACAYTTGTAGTAGAAATGATGTCTGAGGCTACATGTTGCAGGAGGTCTTTGTGCCCTCCAGCATCTGTAAAGAATGTAGTTTTGATTTAGTACAGAGAAAACTCACGGAGACAGCATTGACCACACACAAGATTTGCAGTCCCAAAGGAAGGGATATTCTGCGACTCAACACTTCTGGGGGCTGATTCCCCAGATTCATCAGCCAGAAGTTTAGGGATATCTTGTGCAAAGTTTCTGTCTAGGCTATTGTTTTGAAGAGCCACCAGTGGACTAATTTCCAATAAACTTACCTAAAAGATTGAGCTCAGGATAAAAGTGTCCCCATTCTTACTTTGTGTATCTCATCTGTTTTTCTCCATTCCAGGATTTGGCCTTGCTCTCAACCTCCAGCCATCTGTGATAATCATAGGGAAATACTTTTTAAAGAGAAGGCCCATTGCAAATGGCCTTGCTATGGCAGGGAGCCCTGTGATGCTTTGCACCCTGGCTCCTCTCAACCAGTTTCTTTTTGACAACTTTGGCTGGCGGGGCAGCTTTCTAATTCTTGGGGCAGTTTTATTAAACTGCTGTGTGGCGGGAGCTCTCTTCAGGCCCATTGGGGTGGCCAAAGAATCAGTCAAGAAAGAGATGATCGAGGAAGAGAAGGAGGCTCCAAAAGAAGAAGTCACTAAGGTGTCCATAGAAATGAGCAATCCTGCATACCCCCCTGCAGAGACCAAAGAGGAAGAGGAGGAAGAAAAGGGCTGCTGTGAAAAAATCAATCGGTACCTTGACTTTTCCCTCTTTAAGCACAGAGGATTCTTGATTTACCTGATTGGAAACGTGCTCATGTTCCTGGGTTTTTTTGCCCCCATCGTTTTCCTGGCACCATATGCAAAGCACATTGGCATTGATGAATACTCAGCTGCTTTYCTCCTTTCGATTCTTGCCATCGTGGACATGATCGCCAGGCCAGCCACCGGCATCATCGCGAACAGCAAGTGGGTGAGGCCCAGGATTCAATATTTTTTCAGCTTTGCCATTGCATTCAATGGCGCCTGCCACCTGTTGTGCCCCTTGGCTTCAGGCTACACGGGACTTGTCATTTACTCCATCTTTTTYGGCCTGGCCTTCGGCATGGTCTGTGCCATGCTTTTTGAGACCCTCATGGACCTGGTGGGAGCTGCTCAGTTCACTAGCGCCGTTGGCCTGGTCACCATTGTGGAGTGTTGCACCATCCTCCTTGGACCACCGATTGGAGGTGAGTGCGTTCCCATCATCCAGGGATGATGTTCCTCACTCAAACAGCCTGTAGTTTTCCTCTTGTCAGCACACCTCGTAAGAAGTGATTCTAAATGTGTTTTCTTTCTTTCCATCTTTCTTCCCCATTAGTAATTAGACAGAGAATATGAGTCCTAGACTCCACCATTTCTCCTTTACTCTTTTCTGCTTAGTACCTCAGTTGAAGTCAACAATTTGAGGGGTGATCTGGATGGAGGAGGAGGATTTTTTTTTTCCCCCGATCCTTTCAAACATTTAAATCAAATTTGCACAGTGGGTCTGGGACTCGCAAAGCAACTTGCACTTCAGGCAATTTCTCCTGTGGCAAAAGGCTGAAGTTTACCATAATTTAGGCTCAGTAAAGCACCATGAATTCCTTTTCTTGACTCAAGGCCAGGGTCTTAATTAATATTTGTTATTTGTCTCTGAGGCTATGCTGGACCCAGCAATCACATGTAAATATTTTAATTTTGGTTTCAATAGTTTACAGTGAAGGTAATTCTTGAGTATTTCATTTATGGATTTCTGTCATCTCAGCACATCTGATAGATTTGAGGCTGTTCAAAAAATAAATTGAGTTTATTTTTGGTGGTGCAGTATTTGTTTTGAGTGGATTTGATTTTTTTAAAACTAATTGAAAAATATAGCTTATTAGAATACTTAACAGAGTAAAAGCAATTGTGAAAGTGACTGAGCTTTCTTGTATTTCTTGCAGAGTATTTCCTCACCTGTGGAAAACATCCTTAGTTTCTCTTGTGATCTGTGTTTAGGGAGATGCTGAAAACAGCCTGTGTGCTGAGCACACTTTTTGGTGCAAGACCCTAGCGACTGTAGTCCTTAGTGCTCTGCTATCTTTGCTGTTTCTTTGAGGGAGCTGGGTCCAGCTTATAGGCTGAAGTTCATTTCAGTGTTTGCAGAGCCCCAAGGAACATTCATGCAAGAAAGTGTGCAAGAGCCAGAGACCCTCCAAGGTGCATGATGAYAATATTAAACCCTCCAGCAATGCCTGCATTGGTGCAGTGAACTCCTGTAATTAAGAGCCTCATCTTGTTTCCCTCTCTGCCATGTGCTCATTTCTTATTTTGGGGGGAAGCACACACTATGTCTGCAAGACATACTGTTTGAATATGACATGAGGCTCTAGTAGAGTCAAACCCCATCTGGTGTAGCTATGAAATAAATGAGTTTGTAGGTGACATCCTATCAGTGTGCAGGTATCATCCTCTCTGTGCAAATTCGCATTTCACCTGTATGCAAGCTACAATAACTAGTTTGTTAACTAGTAACCTTTAGGTGTGCTGTGCAGGCAAAATACTTAACGAGGTTGTGTGTTCTGTATGTGTTCGGATATATAGAAGTTAAAATCTTCTAATTAAATGTGACAGCATTTCCAAATAGGCTTAAAGACCGCACAGAGAGAAAGCAAGATAATTCCACTTCCTGGATTCAAAACTGGAGAGCTGGCTAAGCTCTTTATTCGATATGACACATCTGCAGAACCATTTAATTCTTTGTATCACCATGTAGTGCATAGTGTGTGACACAGGCAGCTGTATCCTCTTGTTTTCTTAGGGATTCATTATTTAATTAATGACAAACTAAAGAAAATACGATGTAAAAGACCATTTTCTGAGTTATATAATTTTCTGTGTGGAAGATTAAGTTAATGACCAAAGACTGCTAATGAGGCTAAAACAGTTCTGTGTAATACTCAGTAATATTAGTTTTCTAGGGTTTTCCCCACCATTATAATAAACAGTAAATTTATTGGTTCTTAGGCATTTTAATAACCTACTGCAGGGTTCTGCTTTAATGAACTAAGTAAATTGTTCCCAGTGTGTCTTATGACTTTATCTTATTCTCAAAGGAAAAGAGGCAAGACTATCCTACTGTTGAATTTTCCAATACTCTACTCATTAAAACTCTTGTTGAAACCTATTTAGGAGACCTCTAGGTCATTCTGATTAGCAAAAAAGGAAAAATTGTTGTAATTAGCATTTGGTTGATGTTTCACAAGTAGCATTAAAAGCACAGTGCATTGAAAGTAGTGTACCATGATACGTAGGAATTATTCAGGAAAAACTGTTGACCAAAACCAGTTAAAGTTATTAATTTTGCAGTCAGTAAATCTATTTAGCAGCCATAAAATCCCTTGTTAATGTGAGTATGTGGTGGGATAATTAATCATCGGATTTTCAGCATTAAGAGTCAGGAAGTAATTAAAGATCCCTTTTTTTTTTTTTAAAGGAGGAGAACATATTCCAGAAAGTCAGGGAGGTAATGGATGACGGGCCAGTATAAAGCAGAACTATCTGTACTATAAAGGCAGGTTAGAAGTAGGTCTTACTTTAATTAGCCTATAGGATGTTAAGAATGGCCCGTGTTACTCCGGTAAACGGGAATTAATACTCAGGATCATAATCCCAATAATGTTTGCATTACATTCTGACATAATGGAGAACACTGACATTTCAATTAAGCCATCTCCCTTCAATTATTCTGTAACTCTGTAGCTGAGGCATTAACCTTTGAGAGGAACCTGTCACATTTGTCTTGGCTCTGAAATTATCTGACGTTGACAGCATCATCTTTGCTTTCCCTGGAACTAATGTTTTCCAGTTCCACGCAGTGCCCTTTCATCTGAAGGTCACACATTTAAATGCAGAAAGGGCAGCTGTGACCAAGGACTAAGAGCCCTCTGAGACTGGTGAATGACCCGTGGTAAAATAAATTGGGTCTTAGTAGTGTGAGATGAGACTTGGTGGCCACGTATCCACCTCACAGGGGTCCTCCTGAAAGCTGCCAATTTTGCTGAAGTCCATAGGAAGACTTTGTGATTGCTGAAGTCCATAGGAAGAGTGTTTGCAAGCTCAGGGATGGTGGGTTTTTGTTTCTGCATGGAAAAAATCGAGGTGCCTGATAAATCCAGAGGTTATGATAAAGATTCTCTGTCCCCTACAAATTATTGATAGTACTGCTGACATTAATGCAGCTACCTGCAGGCTGTGAAGTGGGATACATATGAAGTGTTTACAGGATCAGAATGGAATGGATCATATGTATAAGGAATACCTTATTTTATCCTAATGCCATGAGAATGTCCTTCTGTATTAAGGAGCTGCACAAGCAATATTCCTGCCTTTGTCTCTAAATTTCTTTTTTGATATCTATTTTACAGGAACTCTTATCGATACCTTCGGGGACTATAAATATATGTTCATTAAATGTGGAGCTGTGATGGTCTTGGCAGGAACATTCCTATTCATCATGAATTACTATAATTATCATATGCTTGCCAAAGAGGAGAAGGAAAGAAAGGCGAAAGAAGAGGACCCTAAAATTGTAAGGACAGAAAATGAAGGTCGAAGTAACTGGAACAAAGAAACCCAACAGGATGGGCCTGAGCTGGAACCTTTGAAAGATGAACGAGAGGGACTGAAGACGGAAGTGAATGGCACAAATGAAGTTTAAACCTGGTATAATGGACTGAGCAGGAATTTATTTCTGTGTTGATAAGCTGACTCTAGCTGTGAAATCACACTAGGTTTTCAAATTCCACCTTACACTCTGCCACGTGCATCCTCTTCTTTGTCTTAGGAAAAGACCAGGACAGAAACACGTCTAGTTGCTTATGCTGTGCTCAGACACACAGTGAGGTACTCATTCATATACCAAAGGTCCTGCACCCTTTTGCTATTGTATTTCCCTTAGGTTGAATGGGAGTACAACCCACGTTCCAGTCTTGATCCTAGTACCACAAATCTTTTTGGTGAAGAGGTCAGTGGCCACCAGAGTCGATGCAGAGCCCTTCCTGCAGCTTACATGGGCTGTGCATTATGTGCTAAGGTGGCTGCATCGTCTCATGATGCAGCCAAAACGCTCATCCTCCCAGGTGCCCATAGACACGTCAAAAGCCTCTCTCGTCTTTAGCCCTCCGAGTGCAGCGTCAGAGCAATCCCAGGATCTGGTGCTGCCTTTTGCTAGTGGCTGCACTGTAACTTACCCCTCTGCCTCTTGGAAATGGAAAATCAATCTTGTGCTTGACCTAGCTAGAAAATGAGCTAGAGATGCTTGAGCCAAAGGAGGGCAGTGCAGGCACGTGCATGAAGTGGCAGCAGGGCAGTCTGGCCTTGTGACTCCAGGATGCTGACTTGGGGTCTCTCACCCTGCCTTGCCTGGGGACCTCTGTKTTTAGCAAAATGCCTCAAGAAATATTGTGTTTGGCACAAAAAGGCACCAAGGTCCTTCCCATGCCTATGTCTGAGAAGGGCAGAGCACAAGAGGGCAGAGCTACATGACACTGCCTAAACTGAGCAGCACTCAGACTGTGCAAAATCTTTAAAACTTACCCAACGAGGCTAGATGGTCCTTATTAGCCACTATCTGTGTRCCTTACAGGTTTTGCCATGCTTTTTCTTTATTTTTTTAGCACCACAGGAAGGACTATTATTATTAATTAATGGTACAAATGAAGACCGAAGCACAAGGCAACTACAGGCATCTGTAGCTGTAATTCTTAGTCATGCGACAGCTGCAATGGGATCCATTGGCCTGAGCCAGGCACCTTCCCTCCRACACGAAGAGGGTCATCGACAGTGGGGAAGGGGAACTGAGAGCCTTCCCTCCCAGCAAAGGTATCCCCCACTCGTTTGTATCTGGTACAAATTATTCTCATTGAAATCCCTCATTCTRCTAAAGAACAATGACATTTGATCATGCCTTGAGTAGGACTTGAATTTATCCTTTTGTGGCGTCTGTATTTTCTCTGAAAGACAAAATCCATTCAGTATATGTAGGGTTTTGTTGTTGTGCTTTCAATATTCTCTATTGCTGTCYGATCTCTCTCTGACTGTTTGGTAACAAAGGCATTGATGGGAGGTCCTGAACTTTTTCTAATATGCCTTCTGGAAGCTTTAATATAGTTAATAAAAAAGAGATGACATTTGCCCAGTGTGATCTGTAGGTTAATGGTACCCCTTCTACTTAATAAGTAATTTATCCTCATAGGATTTCCAGCCCTGAATCCATGTACACTGTAGATGTGATCATGTAAGGGAGCTATCATTGCCATTGCTGTGGAGAAACGAATGACTGARTAAGAGCCATCCCAGTAACACAGAGAAATACTTGTCTTTGAACCTGGAGAAATGATTTAAATGGTTGAAGATTGTTTCTCTGTAATGCAATCCCTTGAGAGAAGTTTGGTTGTCACTAGCAATTGGAGATGCCACCACAGCAGTGGCGACTGTGCTTTTTCAATGTCTGACTTTTAGACCTTGCCTGTTTAGCTAAGGCCTTCCCAAACCAGGGATCAGGGTTGTGCACTGCCTCTATTTCAATTATTAGCCAGTGCACAGCCACTCAAGACACTCCTCCAGGCAACACAAAGMAGGTGATCTGCAGCAAAATGCAATCACAGTTCTGCAGCTGACAAAATGCTGAAAAGCGTCTCTGTTCTATGCTAATCTAGTCCTGGCGCACAGTTCAGAGACAAATTAAATCAATGCAAAGCTCTTCAAATACTTCTTTAGTAGGACTTGGGCCAGCCTGAGTCACACTCCCAGTTCCTTGGCCCTGTGATAACTCTGAAAGTAGCTGAGAAGGATCTGGCAAGGATCTGACAGGTTTATTTGCATTTCTTCCAGTCATGTCTTATCAATTAATTCTAAAAACAGTGACCTAGTTCCTCAACTGATCTTGCTGCAAGAGCTGATGCTCAGGCTCTCCTTTTAGCAGAAATCTCAGACAAGTTTTTCAGACCATAAAACTGCTAATGCAGGTCCTAATGCATAAACATTTGTAGTTTAGTAACACTTGTTTAGTTAACTATGAAAATAGTCTGGAAAAGATGCACCTGAATTAGTCTGTCACTGAGGGAAGAAGATGCCACATTAAAGAACACACTCTCTACACCTTCAGAAGTCCTTTAATGTTAAAGTAACTATGTCTTTAACCTACTCTTAAGAGGCTCATATACTGCCTTTAAGATTATGGCACCATTTATATCACATAGGAAGCTGGGCGATTTTAATGCTCTATGGGGATTACGGCTGTTTTTGAGTGGTGGGTGACCTGCCTCCTCCCGCCCTCACAGCAGGCTCAAAGTTCAGGTCACAGCAGCTCCCTGAGCAATGCAGCAATGAAGAGCAATACACCTGTGTACTTTTAAGCCCATGGTTAACTCCAGAAAAGTTTTGCTGAGTTAAATCCAATGACTTCAACTTTGCAGGCTCGAACTGTAATCCAGGCTTGGAAAACTCTACAACTTTCCTAAGAACATTTTCAGTTTTTAAAAATCATTGGTGCAGTATAAAATATCCCTTTAGAAAGAGCTCTTGTGATGCAGTGGAAGCTGCCTGCACATCTAATTTAGTGATTTGTGTGGCAGATTGGAGACCCTATTCATTTTTACATGCATGATTAAGTCTAGAACGCTCCTGGGTAGGCAAGCCAAGAGGTGTGAATGTTGTACTATAAACATATGCACCAGGCACATGGGGCATGACTGGGGTATCAGATATGCAAGGATGGTTGCGCATGCTTTCCTTGGAATGCAATTATTTGACATGTCTTTTACATTTCATTAACTGGTGACCTTAATAGAAGCAATATGGACATTGCATATTCCAGTATTGCTTGAACTTGGGCAACAGCCTGATTTTGATACCGAGCCATTATTCGCAACGAGCACAGAAGAAGCCAGCAGACCGGGCAGTAACACAGCACTCGTGGCAAAGCACCAATGGTATTTGATAGAGAGGTGTGATAAGGGGATCYGCTTGGATTTAGAGTCTCCCCACATAATCATTTCTCATTTCTGCTTTCCCTTAGTTTCTCCTTCTGTATATTTGACTTTCCACACCTGAAGCCATAGAGGAAGAATTCCAATATTTCACTACTTAATTTGAAGGGCTGAAAGATGTGATCAAAGAGCTAAGAGGGCACCAGGACCCAACACTTAAGGAACAATATGTAAACCCAGGTTTTCTTGCTGAGCAAGTGCAAAATGCATGCAAACCCAGTTCCCTCCCAGACTTTCTAGATGAGGGCTCACTTATATACTTTTGAAATACACAATCATTTAAGAAAGCATTAGAGATTATTCMGGAGGACAGCTCCCCTGGCTGCTGACACGAAATTTATTTGGCTGTTTTGAGAAAATGCCTAGTAGACAATACAGGTACATTAARATTACAGTGAGGAATGAAGTTAAGAGCCGACTTCCATGCCCTCAGCAGTGACAGTGACATTGGCTGTAGAGCAGCTCTAGTTAGGCTTATCAGAAGCACATGTCAGTGTTTGAATGAGTGACATTCATAACTGTCAGCAAAGCTGCCCTTGAGGGCAACACAGCTCCGAGAAAAAGATTCCCTTCACATCTGCCTGCCTTGGCACTCGCTGAAGTACTGCTGGATTTTCATCTGTATTTGGAGACAGAATCCTTTGCTCTATGACACCAAAAAAGGGACCTATGTAGGTAAGTGGGATCTTCTAGGTCATCGAGGTCAAGACTCTGCTCTTACAGGTAACGGTGTCATTTAATCCCTTATTTATTCCTTATATACATATAAACTGTTGAGTTATGCACCTACTAAGGTTTGATTCTCCTGTGACATTTATGTCTGCAACACTGATGATGTGTTCCCARTCGGTGGGAACATTGTTGTTTTGTATATGCACCAAAAATGAATACGCTTCTGAGTTTTCATGGGCAAATCTCTGTTTCTGAGAATGGAAAGTTATTTATTCACCAGAGAAGTCAGACTCTGGGTGTAATTCTGGCTAAACTCAGACACCTTTAGATTCCTTCTTTACTCTGAGTTCCCCCTGGTGTGCAATGGAGTCATTGAGGGTCTGCTGTTAGGGTCAGAGGAACTAATGCAACTGAAATGAAATGGAGACAAGCACTTTCCCTCTATTGCAGGGCTTGACATTCCCTTCTTGGACAGATGACTTTCTTAAGTGGTTTRTAATCAGCATATAATCTCTCCTGGCTGTTATTTGTGCTGTCTGATCACAAACCCAACTCCAGACAGGGTTTCTTGGGATGTCTAGGAGGATCCATGCATTATTAAGTGAAATAACCACAGACTCTACCTACCACCCATTACTACTCTGTATAATAAGTGCTTGTTGAGCAAACTTGCCAAGCCTAATTATTTTCCCATCAGACTACTGCTTTTTTTGTTTGCTTTTTTTTTTTTTTTTTTTCCAGCACTTCTACAAATTTAATGGAAACTGCAGCAGACCTGCTCCTGCAGAGGCTGCATGGGGAAGTAAATATCTGATGTGCTTTGTACTTCCAAGATAGTCCCTGCTATCCATATTAAATCCATAGGCTATAAGTCCGCACATGCGAGGGTTGCAACTCTCTACCATCTCCTAGGTGTGAGTGTCTGCTGTCCTTGTCACTGGAAAGCATTTCTGACAGTCACACCACTAGATTGCTGCAGCTTCAAGGAGCTCCCTTCTCTGGAAGTACAAGGACAGGGGCTCTGATTTGTGTCTCTGGCCTGTTGGAAGTTGTTAGCAGATCACTTACTGATTTTTCTGCTTCAGTTTTTATAGACAAAAAGGCTGTAACGTCATTCCCCAGTGATGTTAGGATAGATGCTCTCCGTGGCTGTCCCTCCTTTATGCTCTTCCATCCAGGACAACCTCTGTCACAAAATTTGTTCCCAGCTCACAGCCTGGGGGATGATGTATGGTGAYGCACCTTTCTGCTTTGTTTGGACTCAGTGCAGCTGAGATCTCTCAGCATTGCTCCCAGAAATCAGCTTAGCGCTGAGACTGTGGATATTTATGTGGAAGACTCTGCAGCACATGTGCTCCTTCCTGAGGTATTGTGCTCTCCATAAAGCCTGACATTAGTCTGTCTGACAACAGTGCTACTGGGCTGATATGGTTAAGATGAATGAGTCCTTGTAGCTCATCCAAGTTAGTAAAGGAGATTGTGCTGACTAATTAAGAGCAGATGTGAAGCCTCCYTGCTGCTCTGTGGGTGGGCTACAGCTTTGTGGGCCTTCTCCTACTTGGAGTGCAAACATGCCAYCCATATTATGATATTCAACCAGAGCCAGAGACCTCTGATGAGAGAGAGTGGTAACATCACTTCTCCAGGGAAAGCCTCTGCTTGGAGATCTCCACCAATGGAATAGCTTGGAAAATACCAAATATTCAGAAGTGCCTTTAGTCACTAAGATCAACATTTTGCAAAACAGGTCTGTTACCTGAGATTATCTTGATTTTGAAACCCCTCTTTTTATAGCTCAGTATAGGTCACTGAAGTTTAACTATACAGTAAATGACCAGTGTTTCAATCAGCTTCCAGTGCCTCTCTCTTGGTGGACCTTGGCCTATGTCATCATCTATTATAAACATCATATGTTGATAGATTGCAGTCATTCTGATGAAAAAGTGTTACAGGAGAGACTTGCCACATGGCAATACATGTTATTACTCTAATCTTTTTAATCTGTAGACACTTCTACAAGTGAGTCCTTTTGAGCTTCTCTCAAACATATCATTTGTCTAAGGAAGAAGCCACAGAGTACAAGAAACCTGACTGAAACCCTCCCTGCTTTCAAGGCCACATTTTCTATGCTGTTTTCTCTGGTATTTTCTATTCTCATCCCACATTTTTCAAAATACTTGTTGATTCTTTTTTTTCTTATTGTTAGTAATCCATTGTCAAATATTTTCTTTTTAAAGACTGAATACAACGGCTAGAAATATCTTGAAAATATTTATCCGGTAGACAATTTTTCATGTTACAGATATACTTCAAAATCCAGTACTATGTAGGTACACTACAGTATGAAAGTTGAGGGACATTATATCATCAAATAGATCTCAGATAGAGAAGATAGTAATTATACACTATACAAGTAGAAATGCAGTGAAGCAGCTTTGTAATTACAGTGTAACTAAGCTGCAACTA